GTCTGCGACGAAGATAACGACGAAGTCGTCTCTGTGCAATCCGTTCTTGGTTTTGAGTAATTTTGCGGGTTTCCTTTAGCCGTGACTGCCATAACGAAGAGAGAACACTGCGATCAAACCCATTGACCGCCATTTTGTTTACAAATTTTAATTGGCAACATTTACCATCAAAATGAGGCTACGCAGAACGTAAACGCGTCTTTGGTTTGAACAGTTCTTCAATTAAACATGTTTTGTAAAACCGAGTTTTATGAAACTTCGTTTAATTAAACCTGGTTTAGTTGGTGTGAATGGGGTATAAAAGATAGTTTTGTGTTTTTTCGCTCAAAATTTAGTTCAAATTTGTGGCTGTTCAATATCTGGCTGGATTGGATTTGTTTGTATTTGCGCAAAGTTTGAGCGTGAAGTCTCTTTAAGTTGGCGATATTTCTGCATTTCACGTGTGATCAGTTGAAACTCTGTGTCAGAAACCCGATTGTCATTCAGAGCTTGTGAGACAGAGCAGTTTATCGAGTCACGTTTTGCAATAGCCAGAGAATGGATTCTCGAGTGCTTATTAACTTTGCGTTCAAGCTTCNTTAAACTCGTCAACGTTTTCTGATTGGAGGAGAACGTGTCATGTGTAAATGGGTTAAAAAAAACTCGCAATAAATTTGTTAGCCTGGGTATATACGCGTGTTGGCGGGATTTTGCGCTCGAGTGCTTTTCGTGTTAAACATGGCGGCTCCGCCAACAACCCCCCCCCCCCCCCCCCCCCGCCTCTCCGAATATGCAGCTGATTTTCTGGAAAAAGCCCCTGAGCGACAGAGAAACCTTCAAGTTTGTCATGTTTCTTGTTGGAAATGGTTGCGCTTTAGAGTTAATCTCGAGATGGATCATAACTCGCACAGGCTTGGGCCGAGTGATGGACCACTGCCGAGTTGAATTCCGAAGATTGTCGGAACGACCATCGATATACTTCAGCAATAATCGACTTAAAAGTGCGCGACTCTCTGGCATATTCAGAGATTAAACGAGTAGAGAGGACGCGTGAAAACGAAATGTCTGCTGAAAATACAGCACATATAGACAAGCAAACGCCAGAGTTTTTACTCAAACTATCAGTTCTTGTTTGAGCACATATGCACGGGGATTTAACATAATGATCACCAAGGGGAAATAATCATAATATTGATATGAATTGTGCTAACTAATACAACAAGAAATATGTGCAGACCAGAGAGGAGAATTTGTATTTTGACACGAGTTCAAAGCGATAACGTAGGTATACCGACTAGCCGCACGCATACGTTTAAAACCCCATGATAATGGGAGAGGTAGTAAAGTTCCAAACCAAAATCTGAATTTTGGTAAGCGGTGGACACCACTAAAAGAAACAACAATACTAGCAGATGGGAGTTGGTGTGACGGTTATTTTACTGGAAAATGACGGCCTTACAATGATAACTAAAGGTGCTCAAGAGTACACACACCTAGCAGTACCTTTTGGCAGTAGTACCTTCTTCTTAGTACTGCTAGATGTTGGTTTTATCAGAACTTTCATACTGCTTATAAGCCCCTCCTCCGTCGCCCGTTTAAGGTGATTCCCCTGAAATAAAACTGTCAATAGATTTTTGTTCAAACTTTGTCCAATGAATATTTATCATATGAGAACTTTAATAATAAGATAAAAAAGGGTGTCCATGCTCGTTAAGAAGTAGTGAGGCATTGAAAATCTCCCATTTTAGCATTATTTAAAGCTTATTACAAGAACGCATTCCAAGTTATTATAAACTCTTTGTGAGCCCAGACTCATGAAAACACGCTTCAAACTACAGTCAATACTTGTGTCGGACACAAACTTTTTAAGTTTCATTTTGACAGACAGCTGAATCCTTGTTAAATATTGGAACCAAATTGCTTGCCACGGCTATCAAACTGCAAAATAGAAGACTACAGTGCAGCTGCTATTTTCCTTATTTATTCAATTTTCAACAATAGAAATCAGATCAGTCTTCTCTCACGCAAAGCTAATGATGAGTTGATTAAAATGACTGGAAAAAAATTTGGGGTGCCCCAGCTCGTTAGTGAGCTATAGCCATTTTTCAACTGACAGAACTCAATATCGAGGCAAATCCGCCATGTTTTCAATGTGCGCGTGCACGAGCGCGCGCAAATGACGCCATAAATTATGCGCAGTAAGGATGCGCAATGCAAATGTGAGGAATCACCTTGAGCCCACCCAAAACCCCTTATGAAATAAAAGCTGTACCAACCCACCGCTTAAAACTGGAATTTTAAGGTATTTTCAGATGCTATGTAGGCGAATGAACAGTTTAAAACACTTTATTAAAAGCTTCACATCTACTTTCTTTTTATTACGTCGATACACTGTGAAGGAAATAGCTGGGGAGAATTAAGAAATCCATCATAATGTAGCGGCAAACTAACTGTAAATGTATGGAAATCTTTGATATGAAAGAGCATATAGTCGAACGACATTGTTATGTAATAATTGGAATTTTCTTTTTGGCTTCGCTTTCTTTTGCTTTTCCGAGTTGACGGTGCACTTTATATCGGGGTTGTGTTATTTCGCTGGTTATTCAGACCAGAAGCATATAAGACAAATTGGATTTTAAGTGTAGCCACGTTACATTCTGGTACCGAATCAATGCATGTACCATGTATCAATGTATGTACTACGTACCACGTGCTGGTACAGAATCAATTCATATTCTAGACTTGCCGGGCGAAACTATCACTCATTTTTAGCCATCAAGTATAGGGCTTAGTCAATGGTGGTTTTTGGGTCACATGACCTGTCCCGCTCTTGCGGTGTGCTACTTGCGTTGCTCTTGTCGAGTCGTTTTTCTTCGGCTATGCTTAGTGGCTGTTGACCCCCTAGCCTGCGTTACAAGGAAATTAATTAGAGAAGCCCGCACGCTGGGTAATTGGTTATTCGTATAGAAGAATGCACTACAGTTCAAATGTAATCTAGTTGTAATCCATCGCTTCAGATGTCAGTTCGACAAACGGAATTGGTCAAAGGTCCGTGGGAAATAACAACGTCCGGCATTCTGTTTCCCGGGCTCTCTCTCCTTTGAGGAGAAAGACGGGTGTTTCTCCTCAACGTCAAGGGAGGCAAAGGAAAGGGTTCCTGGGGTCAAGGTGGTTTAATCTGACGCGATGTTCGTCATAAACAAGACAAAGTTAAATGCCTTTACTGGAGGAATGGCTAATGTCAAAAGGTCTTATTTGGCCGAGGATTGAATCAGTTACATTTTCTTTCTTTTCACTACTACTGCGAGCATGTTGATAGAGAGGTTGAGATTCTTCACTTGGGTGATTTCGCGCGTCAACCTGTAGGAGCTGGACTTGGCCCTTCTCGTATCGTTCTCTTTCTAATTGTTTGTTAACAGATGAAGGACAAAATGTTTCCCTCTTAGTAAGCGCAGTGTTCTCGTTTTCTCCTTTACTCTTCAAAGTAAGGTGACAGAAGAGAGGTTCTCGTGAAAAACTTAAGTTGGTCTCAACTGTGATTCATTTTTATCCTGTCCCTCAAAGAAGGAGAAATTCCCTCCCTCGTTCACAGTCCCCAGTTCCACTGTAGGCACAGACTTTCGCGCGGAAGGAGTCGCGGAGGCAAGATCGCCACTGTCCCCACTGCTCTGGTTATTCTGTATATACAAGGACGACCCTGCTCTTAACTTGCATTGCATCAAAAATATCCCACTTCTGGACCTCCTCCTGTAGGAAGCTTGTCTCGGGTTTACGTAAGCCATTGTACAGCCAAGCCCGAATTCTACAAGTCTATACGACGTTTCGAATATAAGCCAAGGCCACGGTTTGGGTATGGCAGCTCCGTCGTTAGAATACATGTTGTGTAAAACGAATATCGAGTACAGCTTCAACACAACACAGGTTATGCCCAGGAATACAGTTATGTAAGTTATCTTGACGAGTTTCGCCACGTTTGGAGGTGGGTTGAGTCTAAAATTTCCATTTAGGCCGCTAAAGCGGCGAACTGACGACCGTGATTCATGCACAGATTTGAGAATGATTCTTCCACTGTAAATAAAACTCACGGACAGTATGAAGCTTAGGAGGATGAAAAACGTCTCGCAAACGATGCTGAACGCTTTCCAGTCCGCGTACATTGATATCATGACTTCTGCTATCAGCGTGAGCGCAAAGTGGAATGCGATAACGCAAGTCACAAACTTGACGCTCTGTAACTTTCCAGGGTAGAGTTTTAACTTTGACAACTGGAGAAACGCTAAGTGGACAAGGAAGAACGAGGCGGTAATGCACGGTAGGGCAATACCAAACAATGTCCTGGTCAATATCACTGGGCAAGTGCCAGTTGGTAAGAAACATTCTTCGGACTCGTAGGGGTTGATAAAAAAGAACGCAGCTCGTGTGGATCCAAATAGAAGAAGAAGCGAGCTTATTGCCAACGCAAGGAGAGGTTTTCGTCTGTGTTTGCTTGCCGCCAAGTCAATGAGGGACCAAAGCGCGTATAGCGCGAGAAGAGCAAACATGCAACCAAGCCCTGCCCAGTGAAGGTCCCAGGCCCATTGCCATGTTTCCCTCGCTTGGTCCCAATGTGGCAGGGGCTCGAAGGCAACTTCAAACGTGGGTTCCACTTCGGGGACACTTGTTTCAGGTTCGCTAGTTGGAGTAACGTTTGTCATCTTGGGTACCCCTGAAGAAGATAAAGAAAAGAGATGAATTAGTCAACGGAAAATATCAGAGTGAAGTACTCACTGGATGGCTTATTGAGTCAAATCTGAGTCTTCACACGACTCTTTTTTATGACAAAGTGTATTCCCTATGTTAAAAGTACGTTGGTGAAGATTTGAAAACAGATGAATCGTGTAATGGTCTACATTTTTCTCACTTGCCTAAGACAGAGCCATTTATTGTTTTTATCGAGGTTTAATTTTCGCAATTTCAGGGGGGAAATGGGGAATAAACTACGCGAAAATATCGTCATGGTTTAACGCTATTCAGTATAAGAGCCTACATTCGATATGACTGAGGAAGCGGCATACTTAGAACGCGAGACCAAAACAGCTTCACTTGCATAGAGTTCATTCATTCATGTCCTTTTCAAAACACAGACTTACCAGAATTTTTTAAACACAAAGCGACATTTTTCAGTTCAGTTTATAAACGCGTTACGCCATAACTTGTGCCATCAGCGTTAACGCTGCAGCTATAGTTACAGCGTTGTGTTTAGATTTCAATTGGCATCAGCACCAGTTCATTTGACCCACACACGTGTCACATAATGAATAATTTAGTGTACATGGCAGTGGCCGTTACCATTAGAACTATAATTAGGACGAAAATGAAAGAAAGCAATTGGGTCGACACAGTTAACAATGATTGACAATGAAGTAACGAGGTAATAAGCGAAAAAGGCCTATTACAAAGATAAGGCGGATAAATTAACGTCTTTTAACGTTACATGATTTACCACAATGAATTTACAAGTGCTGGTGAAAATGGCAGCTATGTTAGTGTGACCACAAGCTTGCCAAAATACAGCTTGACTCAGCATAAACTTGCTAGGCATAAATATGCAAAACTGATATAAATTGCGATCGGAGAAAGCGCTGACCAGTTGGCAAGAGCTTTATCTTGATCAGAAGACTTATAAACTCATCGATAAAATAGACAGGATGTCGTAGCCAGAAACGTGAGTAAAGTTTCGCGGGGCAGCAAAACTAAAATAATAAAGTGATTGTCTTTTAGCGACGGAACTTTTAGCTTAATTACCTTGTCGGTCTAGCAGTCCAATAAAGAAAAGAAATGTAAAGTAAATTAAAATTTAAACAGCTTTTTTTATGAACTAGTTACGTCAGTTCAAAACAAAAGAACTAAAGACGAGCATATTCACTAAAAGTTGAGTTTACCAAGAAAATTTGGGATTCAAAAGCAGTTACTATACCCTGTCTATATTTAGTATTCAAATTGTCCTGAATTTCGCTTTTACGAATCATTTTATCCACATTGAAATTCCATAAGGCAATTGATTCATTAGTCTCCTTAAGGGGGGCCAAAAAAAATTAACAAATTATTTTCTTTTTCATTATCCCGAGTAAACAATGTTATCTTTTAGCCAAGAGGAAGCTATTACTGCATCTGTTTTGTGGTTCGTGCATGGGATTCAATACTGTATCGGTCAAACCTTTCAAGATTTTTGTTCTTGGCTTCAAATTATGAACACCAGCCTAAACGTCTTTACGTCTTTATGTCTAGAAGCAACTAATTTAATCTCTCGAAAATGTAGTTGTTTCTCCTGATAAACAGGACAGGAGAGGAGAGGACCTGTGGGACTATGAAAAACCGTAGAAACGTAACTATTAATTTTGCAGAAAGGGAGAAAGTCAGTAACATGTTGGGATAAACATATTTGTGGCTCATTGTTTTTTTTTCCATTTGAATTGAAGAATATTCAGTTTTCGTGCCTTTGGTGGGAAGCCAAATTTGTAAATTACTTAACTATTAATCATATTTTGTCTTGAGATGGTTTCGTGTCATCATCCATGGTTGTCTGTAAGGCCAGCCCACACATTTTTTTAGTTCCTTGCACTTAGTTTGTTCTTCGTTTTGTCTTGATTTTTTAATTAGCTTTTAACAATTGTTTCGACCCGATAGATGCTTCGGCAGTCTTGCTGACCTTGGTTGAAATCGAAGTGTACCATACTCCTCTCGAAATTACAGTTGGGCTAAATTAAACAGAACTTCTATTAATAACGCTTCTTAAAAAGCTCTCCTTTGAATAAATATAGATACCTGTTTTAAACGGCGAATGAATGCTTGGCCACCTTTTGTGAACTCTGCCTTAAAGTATGAGGGACAGCGAGCCAAACGTATTTTAAAACTATTTTAGCAGGTGAACAGGAAGTCACTCTAAATTTCGTTATTTGCAATAGTACCTACTAGGGCCGTGGAAATTAATTATTATGCTCAAATTTTTCACCATTGTCCATAATGTGGACAAAACGAACAGCCTCTCGTGTTACTCGTGCACGTAGCCACAGGCCGTGAGAAGTTCCACGTTTTAATGAAAGACTATATTTATAAGTATAAAGGTTTCTAAGTGTTTTATCACTTGTAACATCTATGAAATTTTAATCATAAGGGATATTGGAGCGGGCATCACGAGTGATAGAAAATTCAAATTTCTCTCATTCTTATACGATTTATATGATCAATTTACATGTAAATTGGTGTTAGAAAGTGAATGGGAGACATATGTCATGCTTGTGGTAAGTGTCACATTTCACCATGAAATGGTTACTAAAATGATTCCCAAAAATAACCAAAATCTTAATTCTCCTAACAACTTCAATACTTTGCTAAACAGATGGGTGATGAGAATTAATTGACAAATCATCAACTACGGAATACACAGTTGAGGTCGGAAGTAAACTAACGAGTTACTTTAGGATACAGACGTCTTTTCCTATTGGTACAGTAAAATGCATACCCTCGGTAGCTAAAAATAGCTAAAAACGTGCACCATGTATCGGTCGTTCCGTCTTACTTCCGGCAAATATACTGCAAGCATGAAGCAACTAGTCTTATATTGAGAAAAAGGTCAGCAATTTGCAGACCAAAGATGACAGGAATTGTTGTAAAGAATTTTCACCCAGCAGAAGAGTCGATGTATTGTTTTTGGCATCCAGCCGCATCATCCACTAGTGTTTTCAACTAAAGTCGATTTTCACTTGGGATCGCTACTTTGTAGCGCCGTTACACTCTTTTTTCCCTTAAGAGTATTATGTTTTTCCGGCCCAGGCTGATTATTCTTATTTTTCTGCCGATTTTAGGCTGAAAATATTCTTGTGAATATTCTTAGATTATGGCGTATGGCTTTTGCTTTTGATAGCGCTGAAGTAATTTCCGAGCCAGACTGCAAGCAATAAACCCTAATGTGACGCACATCACTCACACTCCTGGCAGAAATGTCATAACATCGAACATACAGCTAGTGCTGTTTTTGTTGTTTTTTTAACTAGTTTCGCCGTTTAGAGAAGGATGAATATTATATGATTTACTACTACGTAATTGTATCGTAGTTGCAAATTTCCAACACACAAAATTATATGATTTTCACACGCTCAGCCTCAAGTTTATTCTTAAAATATTCTTAAAATTTCGCAAATTTCAGGCTTCTGTAGTCCTTATAAAATATATTCTTATAAAAATTAAAACGAGTCGACTTAAAGCTTCGCAATATTCCACCAAACCCTCAAACTAGCATTTAAAGGAACGCATGAAAATCAGTATTTGGAGCTTGATTAATTAAGATCAGGGAGAACCAAGTCGAAAACTGTTGCAGCGGTTTCTTTTGAACAACTAATATTTACATTCGTATGGGAAAATACTGTTCTCGTAAAAGTTCTGTTTCCTGATAATATAGCGCAGACTCTTCCAGACCCATTACAAAACGGAAGCCGGAAATTGGATGTCGGAGTTAATGGAGTTTTGATGGCTGGTCTAGCAATATTCCAAAAAATGGCTTGTCCGGACAACCTTACGAGGCATAATCTTTATTGTCTCTTTTTTGCTATTGTATCGTTTTATTCCCAGTCTAGTCACCGGCGGGGTTAACCGGGGATAATCCCCAAAATAGACTATACGGGCGAAGCTGTGCCCGCAGGGGGTACCTTTTTCTGGCTGGAGGTATACAAAAGGGCAGGGATTTCACGAACTGGCCCGGGTTATTCAAGAAAAGGTGTATAACGCTATCCACCGCATAAATAACTATCCAGTGGAATGCGTCGGCCTGAAGTATAGAAACACGTTACGCTAAGTAGTTAGGTATTTTATAGGCCCATTCAAAATATCGAGAGCAATTGCACCTAACGGCTTTGAAGTGATTGAAGTTTTTTAAGTAGATACTCAGTCCAAGGTTATAGAAAGAGGATGTGGTGTGTCTTCTGTGTCTTTTGTCGGTATGTGAAAGGGCTAACATTTTCTATGGATGGCAGATTTAAGGGTTATCTTTTCTATAACAAAACGATGTCTATTGGGTGCAGATCCGGGGCCCCTTTCTCAAAGGACCGGTAGTTACCGATCCCGAAACGTTGTTTTCTGTTTGCCGTGTTTACATTCGAGGTCGAGATATTAATATTTTTGAAATTCAAACAATAAAGGTATCAGGAAACGAAACAGAATGGAGTGGTTTTGAGCTACTCCCGCTCTACTATTCCCTTCAGTTGATTTAGATGTTAAAACATGGCTTTGGTTCCGTTATAAAGTTACCGGGACTTTCGAGAAAGGGGCCCAGGCCACCCGTTTCAAACTTTGTTGGGAAAACCCCCGCACCAGTACCCTGCACCCTATAAAGGGAACTGATTTTATGTCGGGGCAAAATAATCGCTGAAAAGAACCCGACTGATTTGGCATCTGGTCAATAATATCTCACGGACACGTTTAGCTGTCATCAGTCAATCGAATATCAAGCAATTACTGCTTGCCCATCAAAACGTGCACTAAAAGTCACGTAATCGAATCAATGTGAGCCCCTGCCATTTATAGATATAGAACATTCTCAGCGTGAAAACATTTGGTAAACTAAACAACAGCGAGTGACATGACATCAGTTTTTTTTTTCTAGATTTGTCTGCGGCTTAAGTTCTCAAAGTTCTTAAGCTCTTTGCTTTAGAATAATCAGAAATATTTCAAAACTCTGCACGAGATTTATAAGCCGATATGGTGTGGGTACATACACACTATCACTGCGGTATCAGTCACGCAAAAGGCTCGGAATGGTATTAAAATGATTTTTAGCCCTGGGATTCATGGCTGTACCTAAAGCCTATAGCCTATAGAGTCTAAAAGATTAAAAGAACCAAAAAACTGAGGCTAGCTAAAGGCTAAAACTAACTGAAGACGAAGACGCTGTCGGTGTCTGACAGAAACTACAAACAATTAATATTATTGCTGTAAAATCAACTTGTACCGCACCAAGAGAAAACAATATAGTTAGTACACAATAATCAACATTAGAATATAATTCTCAAGTTGAGTGGCGTTTACTATTTGACAGTACAAATTGATTTATTATTGCTTTCTTTGTTAACTTCACTGGCTTTCATCAAGTAATTATTATGTACTACTGAGAATGTAAGGAACGTTTTGTTTTAGAAAACGTGATAACCGTTATCATTGAAATGAAAAGCATTTCCGTCTAGTAGAGACTGCTATGTTTTTTATAATTCGCCGCCTCTCTCGGGTGTCGACTATGGTTTGCTCGACAAAAGCGAAAACGACTTTAAATTTATCAACAGAATCCAGAAACAGCCCAGATAGTCACAAACGACGCACAAAATTTAAAGTACACATAACGGCTTACAACGGTAATAGATGAAGTGAAAAACACTTACCTCTTTTTTTTCGTATCAGAACTTAAGCTTCACCGCCCCATTCGCCAAAACATTTACGAATTCTTTACGTTGCAATGATCGAAAACTGACCCTGTAACACAGAAATAGGATAGAACTAGATTCAGTTATTTCTTAATCAACGTATTGCTCTGAAATGCTTAAATACTATTTTCTCAGTGCGTATCTACATGATTATAACTGACCTAAATTTGATTATTTTCCACGCAGTAAACAGTTACCTAAAATGCGGGGTACCCTGCCGAGACGTTTCGCGAAATGTGTGGCGCGACAATTGAATCATTCATGAAACGTGATCATCATATAGCGATTTACATGAAATTGCCGGTATTGATACCATGAAGATACCGGTAATAAGTAATCTCTTTTAATTACTACTTTATGACCAATATCAGTTTCTCAGGGCGATCCTGGTCTGTAGAATAACCCATTTCAGTGCGGGGTCCTGTGACAATAAATTGCTGTTAGATATCATATATGCGTGCACTTGCAAGAGACAACGAGGGGGGATGGGTGGAGAGTTTGTCCAGCGTCGCCAGACAGAATTCGGTGACACAAGTGACAAGCGAATGCATCATTGATTAAGCACTTTTGTTTTCTGATTCAACCCTGTTATCCACAGCAGACCCTTTTTTATATTATACTCGTTTCAAACAAAAGCAGCATCAAACATTAATGTGGGATCGACCTGGGGCTCTGAGAAAATTTCGGTCCAAAAGTCTAACAAGTGTTCTTGATCTTGAGCGGGACAGAAAACGAAAAAAATCTATCATAGGATCAGAATGACATTTTATTTCATTTTCCTGTCAGATATGACCACTGAAATCATATAAACCACGAGAGGCACTGGGAACAAAGGTTGGCGCACCCTTAGGCTGTATAATCAGCACTGCTTTGTTTTAGTATCTGAGTCGACAATAGATAATTCAGAATTTTCTTTTTATCCGGTCGTTAGGAGTTTCTTTAAATTTTTGACACAAAGCCACTCTTACAAATTTGATATTAAACCCAAGTATCTACTCAGTTCATCTTCAACGGAATGGAGAGTTCGCGAAAAAGTAACAAGCTTGTGAATCGACACAGCGATGTTACATTTAGAATGAACCTAAATATAGGATTACATATGATAATAAAGCACTGAGTGAGCCCTGAATTAAAGACTAATTTGTTCTGTTTTGGCTACATACCAAGCACGTTAATTATAGGACTCCATCTTCTCTTTGAATATCTTCTTTCGAATATCTTTCTTTACTTCGCCGGCGATTTCTGCAACTTGTTCGTGAATCGTCTACATTCAGTAAGAGTGACGCGAACAGAGCTATGAAATGATAATTTACGACTTCTACAACACCCCCGCCACCCACTAAACTGGTGCGCATTATTTTAAGACGTGACGCTGGAGAACTCCCGATCCCATCACCTAAACCTTAAATTAGGAAGATAGTCAAATATTGAAACATCTGATGTCACGAACAAAGTCAAACAAAAGCATTGCTTATCGTACGCGTTGACTATAATAAATTGTCAACTCGGTATTTGAATTCTCAATTGCTAGAACAAACACACAAAAAAATATCTAAAAGCTCGTCTTCAATGGTGGCAACGCAATTCATTAAACTTGCTTCGCGTTTTTACTTCCTCCCTTCGGACATCCTTTTCTGACGGTGCTCTTTGAGGTAAAGACAAAGATTTCCTTAAGATTATTGTATGCATGTTTACTTTTCTCACGTCAAATATGAGATAACATGGTTTGCGCGTACGTGAAGAAGTGATGAGTATTTTTTGCGACGTCATGTGATTTAAATGCGAGATATTTTGGAAACCGGCATTACCACCAAGACAGCATTTAATTAATCATATGAACCAGGATCATGCTTGTAAAATTGGGAAAAATGTCCTGGTTACGTACCGTACATCAGTAAATAGTAATGGCATTGTTCAAAAATAGCCAACCGATCGAAGAGAGGCACTGGGAACAAAGGTGGGCGGATCCTGAGGTTGTATTTGTGTTAGTATCTGAGTCGACAACAGATAATTAAGAATTATATATCTTTACATCCGGTCGTTAGAAGTTTCTTTAACTTTGTACACAAAAGCCACCCTTACAAATTTGATATCAAACCTAAGTTTCAATTTCATCTTTAAAACGAAGAGGATCGAGAGTTAAATTCGCGACAGTGTATAATGAGCTTGGGAATCCACACCGGGGATGTTACATTTAAGATGATCGTAAATGGGAACACATATACCGTGTGGCGCGAAACTTTTTTCCGGTTTTGAAGTTTTGCGATTTTTTCGTTTTTTTTTTTTTTCTTTTTCTTTTTCTTTTTTACCCTACGACCCGCAAAGAAAAGTTCACGTCAAAAATTTCTCTGCAAGACGACGAAGTTGCCCTCGGTACACTACAGGTGTGATAATCAACATCAAGTGGTACCGTACAGATTGCTAATCGGCAATCCGTTGCAAGAGCAGTCAGTCACAGTAGCGCAAGATGTAGTTGTAACAGAGCAGGGCCAGGGCTGAGGCAACGTTCATGGTTAGATTCTCTTCCTAGGTACTTAGAGTGTTCATAATGACTGCATTTAAACACAACCCTGCATGAGATCACGAAAAAATGGCTGAAGCAAGTACCTCGGTTTGCCTCATATGCTGGCTACGGCCCCGTAGAGAGACGCTGATTAGATCTCTGCATGTTGTTTCACTTGGTGATTGCATGTAGGGTAATAAAAAATGCAATGTTGTAATTCCAACTAGGGAAACTTCCTGAAAATCGCAAAACTTAATACCCAGCAAAGAAAAAAAAAACAGTTTTTTACAGTCGCAAAAATGAGTCCCAATAAAATACAAAAAAAATCGCCGATCCGCAAAATTGAACTCTCGCAAAAATTTCTTTTCATACCGGCATAATAAAAGTTCTGAGCAAGCCCTGAACACTAAAACACACATTTATGATGTTTAGGCTACATACCACGTTATTTTAAGAACCTATCTTCTCTTTGAACATCTTCTCTCGAATATCTTTCTTTACTTTGGTAGCAATTTCATGGTGTTCGTGTGCTCTTCTTTTTCCTTCTTCCCGAACATACAGAAGCGGCTATCTTTTACCCATCAATCAGATAAGAATGACGCAAGCAAAGTTATCGATTGTTATTATTTACACTTTGCACACCCCCGCCACCCACAACACTGGTGCGGATTATTTTAAGACATGAATCGCAACTTGGCGAACTTAGACCTTTCATTAGAAACGAAAAACAGACTTAGAAACATCTTTTGTCACGAGCACACTCAAACCAAAGTATTCGAATTCTCAATTGTTGGGACACGCAAAAAATATTTAAAAGCTCGGCCGGACAACCTTTTCTGTCAATGCTCATTGATTTAGATACAAATATTTGTCATGATCTGCATTCATTTATTTACTGTAGCCATGGAGACTTACTTATCATATATGCGTGTTGACATATCTTACGTTGAATAGGAAGTGACATGCTTAACGTGAAGAAGTGATAAGTACTTTCTGTGGCGTCTTGTACACAACATTAAAAGAGAGATATTTTGGACACTCAGTGCTATTTTGGTCAAAGACGGAGCGATCAGCTAATGAAGTTTTGGCAGACTAGTGACAAGTTTATGTTATCATAGTTTTATATTCGATCTGTTGTTTTTGCTGAAATATTCTTGTACGTGAGTTGCATTTTAATCTGATTTAAAGGTGATGTTACGCAGTCCCCCCGGGCGACGCAATTTAACATCTGAACTGTGAAGCACCTTTTACGTGCAAACTATTAGGTAAACGCAATACAGCCTCTTCAGTAAACAAGGAAAATTCTTTCTTTTGAAACCGCTGTTTAGCTCAACTTGAAAGTTCTTAATATGAGGTTCTTGTATAAGCAATTGAACGCATCTCCACGGAACATGAAGGAGCAATTGAACGCATCTCCACGGAACATGAAGGAGCATCTTATATGAAGTGCTCGCAAGTGAAATCAATTTCCTTTTTTTTCTAAAAATATATCGTGTAAAGTGAAATTCATGTCAGGACGTTGACAAACAGTGCATTTGTATACTAAGTACAACTATAGCTAAATAGCTTTCATTTAAATGATCTCGTACAAGTTTTATCGATATATAGCTCTTTTTTCCCTTTACACGGTTAGCTTTCGAACAAAGTTATCTTATTTACCCATGCGCTATCTTTTTTTTTAAATCCTTTTCTTTTATGGGAACGTAAAAAGGTCCTCCTCTTGTTTTCTGTCCTTTTCAAGATGTGCTTTTCTTGTTAATGAATTTCAGTTAAATCTAAGACTAAATCCTGATCAATAATAAAATATACATGAGCCTGTTCAGGAATAGCAAATTGAAAGTGCTTTCAGGCTTGTTATGGAGAAACAGACTTATTCTTTAAGCTTAAATTTCCAATAAGCCTAACACCGAGGTACGGGTGTAGAAATCTGCCGCTCTTTGTAGAACTAAGGCACCAATCCGATAATATTTTATACTGATACTATTGAGGTTTCTCTCGGTGTTGTAGTTGCCAAAATTTCTGTCGATGTTTTCTGTTTAACATCTGCTGTATTTAATCTCTCTATTTTGAAGAAAACATGAAAACAAAAAAAAAAAGAAATGAAAATTTGGCGGAGATAAGATTTCTCGTTATTTTCTGGCAGAGCTGATCATGCAAAAGTTGTCAGGCCACAGCCTTTAGTTATAACTCAGTAACAAATTAATGCTGTTTCGCTCGACAGAAATGACAGTTAAATTTCCCGTTATTCTCGGGTTAGGACTGACGGTCGTTTGATATTGCAAAGCTTAATACATATTTCCATTATTTCTTCCTTCTTATGTGGGAAGCATGTTGTTTTCTCCTTAGTTTCCATGTATTAGTATCAGGGTTCAATTCGGTTTAATTTGAAAACGATAATATCTGCATAAAACGTGTCTTTTTTC